AACCATATTTCCATGATCACATTTTCTTTTTGGGCTTTTCCCTGCCCATTTTTTTTAAACTCCATCTCTCATATTTTCCTCTGGTCTTCAGTTGTGCTTTTCTTATTATCCCAAATTCATAAGCAATAGCATGCATACCTTTCACTCTTCTAGCCCTTTGGAACATCTTGCCCCCGGAGGTGAGACAGGCCCCCTCACTCCCAGCCTTTCGGAGGGATTTGAAGACCTGGCTCTGCCATCTGGCCTGGGGCGGAGAGGGAAGTAATCAGAAATGGGGTTGGCTAATCCCCTAGAGGCCTGGTGTTGCTTCCATCGGCCTCTTGGATTTTTTCCTCTCCTTCCATTTTGGGTAAATGTGGTTTTCTCTTTTTATAAATTTTAATTATGTATTTTATTTAATTGTTGTAAACCGCCCAGAGTCCCCCATTGGGGGGAGATGGGCAGGGACTCTGGGCGGTTTACAACAATTAAACAAACAAACAAACAGCAGTAAACTGAGTAGATTATGCATCATACTAGAAGCTGGAAGGAAGTTACTGTAAATTAATTCCTGTTCTTTGGTTCAGATATCACAGTAAAAGTTGTACTTAAGTACAGTTTAATCCAATGTCCTGATTCAAATAGTGAAGTAGACCTAATCATACCATGGCTTGGCATGTCATGTCATGCAACTAGGGATTAAAATGTGATGTCTATATTTTATGAAACCTTAACTGTACTACTCAGCTACACTGTGGTTATGTTTGCATGACACATTGAACTGCAAGTTACAACTTTTCAGTCTAATGTGTATGTGGACCCAATCCATGTGGTTATCTTATGGTTCTGTGTGTTATAAAAACCCAGAAAACTGGAATGAGTAAATTGTGATTAAGTAAACATAAATATGTCATGAAAGCAGATATTAATATTTTAATATGTTGTAAATTACTTTGGGATTGATTGACAAAGGGAAGTATCTCAAGTAATTGCTTATAGCAGAATTTGCAACCTAGCATCTGCAGTTGCCAGCATGTCAGTGCCACCTATATGGCTCTCACAGCGCCCCCTTCTGAGTTAAAATATTAACAAATGAAAATTGCCATATCATATACAATTTTGGTATTCGAGTAAGCTCTGTGAAATTGCATTATTTTAGGGAGGGAGTACCAGAAAAAGATGTGAGCCTGGAAGAACAAAGGTTGGGCATGATATTATCCAAGAAAGTTTCCATGAGTTTTAATATTGAAACTGGATGAATTATTGAAGATGTGTTCATTCTGGCTTTGAATTCACCAATGTTCAGGAAGTCATCAAAGTCAAGCTTGCCTTGAAGGAAACTTCTTAAAATTGCTTAAATAGGGCTTACATCAACGCAGGGTCCAAAATTATCTTTATTATGATGCTATTTAGGGATGAAGTATGGATTACAACAAGTACAAATGCCTGTCAACAAGATGTGAAGTACAGATTATGATAAAACTACCCAAGTTTGAAAACACATCAAACTTATTTGTAGCATGAACCCACACATTCATATCCTAACTTTTTATTCAACATAGGCTAAATGCAGTGACTGTACTTCCTCATGGGAGCTTAGAATTAAGTGTACACTATCTTGAAAAGATACACATTTATATTAGATTATACAATTTATTTCTTGTCATCTGACCAACTAATTTCATAATCCTTGTAAGTTCTCTTCAGTATTTCAACAGTCACAGAATGATCAGCTTTACCATATCCCTGTAAGAAGAAAATTAAAATTTCCATTGTCATGGAATCATAGAATAAAAGGTTTGGAAAAGGCATTGAAGATATTTTAGTCCAATCCACTACAGCTATTGAGCATGATTATTTCCAAATAGACTTATTCCTAGTTATACCTGCTCAAAGCAGACAACTTATGATTAGCAGCTGCATTTAATTTCTTAAATAAAGCTGAAGGGCCAATAGTATCAAGCAGCTGTGTTCTGTAAGCATTTGTATTTTCTACTCTGATGTACCAGAATTAGACTAGTTCCTAAACAAGGAATGGCCCCAGTGCACCCCAGTTATGGCCCCAAGGTCTTCTCTAGAACAGAAAGTATTAAAAATAGATTCTGGGTTCATTATGCCTACTATTTTGGATACCATATAATTTAGATTTTGTTCTTGCTTGGAGTTTTTGTTGCAGTTTTGCAATCGTACCCATAACTGGAAATGTGTGTATGCAACAATAAAAGTTCCACAAGCAATGGTTTAATGTGAAAGGTTCATATCTGAGGACAGCTGAGAATTACAGAAGCCTCATCCCCAAATCTATAACTGTTCCTTCTTCTAATTAATAAAAATACAATTAGAAACACTACCCTGATCTTAATATGCAAATTAATTTGTCATATTTAGACAGCATATGTAAGCAACACTTACTGTAGAAAGACCAAATACACGGATTTTCTTGTCTTTGCTGTTATGTTCAATTTTTCCTCCTCCAAGACACTTGCATACAAAACCTAGCTTTTCCATTTCAGGATTTAGTTTTTCAAATATGTGATCTGCAATTTAAAAAAATAGAAACTAAGCAGAATATTAAGAGTATACTATAAAGACAAAACACAAGGATCTGTGAAATGTAAACATTGTAGGAATGGCATAAAAACTTTCCACCATGCTTGAACTATAGCATTCATATTATTCAAACAATTTTTGAACACTCTTGCCTGTGTGTTTTATGTCTGGAAACAGTAAATAATTATTATAAACTAATATAGACTCTTCTTGTCTTGTAGATACCAAAATGATGAAGAAATGCCAAAACTAAAAGCAGACTTGAGTGTGACAAGAGTTTATTTTTGGGCTTTCTCTGTCCACAGACAAGCCACTCACATTCTTGATTATTCTTTGGTAAAATGAAAATAGCAATCTAGCTACTTAAAAGGGTTTTGTGGAAGAACAAAGCACGATCATCATCATTTAGATTATAATCTAAAGAAAAGTGATAAAATAATGCACTTCCCTCATCCAGATTCCCAATGCAAAACTTCTAACAAGGCACAGCTGAAACAATCCCATTAACTTGTTTTATTTCAACAAGCTGGATTCACGCAGTATGCAAACCCAATATGCAACTTCTGTAGTGGTCTGGTTCACCCATCATAATGGAGGGTTCACAAACCACCCTTGAGACGAAAGCAAACAGGACATTCTGGTTGAACTAGGGTGTCACACAGTGAAATCCAACCCCGGGTTTAACATACTGGAAGAATGTGCTCATAGACCACTCGGTCATGTATGTTTTCAAATTATTCTCCCTAGTCCTAATTTCACGCTGAACGGTGCTGACTTCACACATTTTTTTCCCACTGTCAAGCCCCTGTCTGGGTCCGGGTTCGGTCCAGCTGGCAGCTCCACTCACTGTGGAACTCGGCGGCCGCAGTGCCCCTCACGATGTCGCGGTGCTCATCGGCGCCCCGCTGCACCCGCACCAGGATGTATTTGAAAGTGCCGTCGGGGTCCAGCTCCACCTCGGGCACCGAGCTCAGCTGCCCTCCCGCCGCCATTGTCCAGCCTCGCGGACGCGCGGCGAACCACAGAAAGGGAAAGCGTCTATTTTCGGCGCCGGGCCCAGCCGCTCCAACGCGAGAAGGGGCCCTCAATCGCCAGCCGCGAGCGCTCATTGGTTGCTGCTGTTTGTGGGCGAGCCGCGAACGACTTCGCAGCCGCGGGAAAGGAGGCGGCGGAACTCTTCCAAGAGGGGAGAGAGTTGTGTTGCTGGAATGAGCAACGCACGAGCACAAAACCCGCCACACCTAAATACGAATTCCCACGATTTCAGGTTCTTCATTCTCGGCCAGTGTGGGATCCTAACCGTGTCTATTTTAGATTTTTGGCTACGCTTAAGGAGCAGGACAAGATGGGTATATTCTCCCAACAACACTTTAATGCAGTGTTTCTCAACCTTGGCTACTTTAAGATATGTGGACTTCAACTCCCAGAATCCCCCAGCCAGCATTCATTCTACAGACTGCAGTAGAGCTATGGCACCTCAGTGTTAAAAATTCAGATGACCGTTAGATGATAGCCACCTAGTAATCGTTTGGATTTCTGCAGCCCAGGTCAGTAGCTTTGGATTGAACGAGTTAACTCGTAAACACATTTATTATACACTGGCTGTATAACACATTGTGATACATTGTAGGAGGAGAGCATATTAGTCTACGGTAGCCCCAAATCAGAAAGAGTTTGGTAGTACCCTGTAAGACTAACAACTTTTGTTAGAAGGCAGAAGCATTCAGAAGCTGCAGCATACTTCACCAGCTGCATGGGGGAGCTTGACTGAAGTAGGATTTACATTTATAGGGATGTGGCAGTGGGGAAAAAAAAGAAGGGGGCAGAGAGTGGTTATGCAAATGAAGGTTCAAGGGGCTTGTAAATTAGCAATTGTAATGTAATAAACCTGTTGTGTTTATTCAGACCTGAAACAGACTGAAACCTATTCCAGTCCTGGTGCTCATCAGAAATGGACTGTGTAAAGCAGTGTTTCTCAACCTTGGCAGCTTTAAGATGTATGGATTTCAACTCCCAGAATTCATGCTGGCTGGGGAATTCTGGGATTTGAAGTCCACACGTCTTGAAGTTCCCAAGGTTGAGAAACCCTGGTGTATACCATTCTAAGATACTCTATATATTGCTTCCTGTAACTTTGCTAAACCCCAAGATCTGGATAGCTCCTAAAGCTAATGCCCTGATTATAGTCACCTAAAGTGCAAACGTCCATGAGCTCAGTTTCCATAGAATGAAACTGGTCCTGTAATCCCTGTATATTTAAATCCTACATTAGTCAAGACATTCCATATATCTTATGCCTTGTAATAAAATTTTCAATCTTAAAAGGTGCTCCCAGACTTTTTCTGACATTGTAATACTATAATATATGCTAATTGCTTTCTTAATCTAAATTTCTGAATTTGAAAGTTTGAAAGACACTTTGAACCATAAACTAATGTCAGACTTACACTTCTAGTAATTAAAACTCCAGTCTGTTAATAAGTTTGGAATTTGTTTAAGGGATACATTTGTTTTCAAGTGACAAATTTACAAATTTCTCCATATACAGTGGGGCAAAAAAGTATTTAGTCAGCCACCAATTGTGCAAGTTCTCCCACTTAAAAAGATGAGGCCTGTA